AAACAAATGCTCTCAAGAGTCAAAATCTCTGATTAAGTTCAATAGTTTTTCTTTACGGTTTCTATTTTTAGTTCTCGTTTGAATCAAAGTCGATTACTTGTGTGAGTTTCAAATTTTTTGTACAGGAAGAACTATAGAATCTTAATATAGTGTTTATACTACTTTATATCGTCTAATGAATGAGCTAAACATGGGTCTTCAAATAGTTTATTATAAATCTAAACTAAAAATATTTTATATATCATGCTCTTGGTTGTGCACCTCTTGGTTATCCTCTTTTGTTTGAAATGAAGACGGTAGCAAAATGGGATAGAGACCGTCCACGTACAGTTTGGCGGTAGACGTAATTACACAAAAAATGGTCTTCCCCAAAATATGACCTAAAAACAATATAAAGATGTAATAATAAGTACTTATTATATTTATGATCAATAGGTATATATATATTACTTACATTATAAAAGCATTTTCGAGCCTTAATTTCTCTAGGATGGCTTAATTGACTCTCTTTGCAAACACCGGATGATTTCATGTAATTGATAGTCGTCTTGGTGTTAGAGATTCCTTTGTCTGAATCATACTTCACGTTGTTGAGAATGTATTGGGTAGACAACTCTTCTTGTAACTGAATAGAAACACGCACCAATGTTATAAAGAGCTTGTATGGCTCTCAACGTAGAGACGGCCAACAAGTAGCTACATAAAAACGCATGAACAAAAATAGTGGGCATCAAACAAAATTCAAACAAAACAGAGGACAACGATCACATGCTAAGTAAAATATGTAATACAATGAAATAAGCCAAGTATCAAATTATTTACTTATTTTATATACAACTCGAGTTAAATTTAGTTGCCACTATTGTTTTTAATCTATGGAAATCTTGAGACTTGAGAATAATTATAGAATTATGAATTTCTAGTTTTTCTTTACTTAATTAGCTTTTACAATTCTATATATCTTTTAGTTTGAAGCATAAATACTTTCAAATCCTTGATCCACCACATATCCGATAACACCAAGGTAAAGCCTCTAATCCCAAAAATCATCCTACATATATAAAATATTAAGTACAAAATACATAAACATATACTAATTATCATTCAAATCCTAACAATGTATATAACCGGTCATTTGATTTTAAATAAAATTAGGTTACATCATCTTCATAATCCACAAATGTAACTACACTTTCAGTATTTGATGGTTCTTTTGAAACCTATAAAAATAGAGAAAATTTATCAAGATCTACAAAAAAAAATTTGGAAGCCCATTCAAAAAACAGTAGAGGGAGAGAGATGATGTTAGTCACTAAATGATAAATCAAATTAGACTTGTAATGATATTATACCTCTGAATTTTTAACTTCTTCTATCTCCCTAGATGTACTAGCTCCTCCTCTAAACATCTATCAAACAAATAGATTTGAGTCAATCTACATTTAATTTTGTATTTGGACCATAGAAAACTACCTAGAAGTTTCTTAGGTCAAAACCTGTGCATGCAAGATAAACACAGAAGGAACATTGACAAAGCTAAGATCAAGATAAGGCATATCGTAGTAGTAGATTTTCCATAAACATATCCAAAAGCTATTAAATCCCAAAAATCATCCTACATATATAAAATATTAAGTACTAAATAAATAAAACATATACTATTTATTATTCAAATCCTAACATTATATATAACCAGTCATTTGATTTCAAATAAAATTATGTTACCTCATCTTCGGAATCCGCTAATGTAACCACACTTTCAGTATTTGATGGTTCTCTTGAAACCTATTAAAATGGAGAAAAATTATCAAGATATACAAAAAAATTTGAAAGCCCATTCAAAAAAAAGAGAGAGAGATGATGTTAGTCACTAAATGACAAATCAAATATTCAAAAAAAAAAAGAGATGATGTTAGTCACTAAATGATAAATCAAATTAGACTTGTAATGATACTAGACCTCTGAATTTTCAACTTCTTCTATCTCTCTAGATGTACTAGCTCCTCCTCTAGAGATCTATAAAAACAAATAGATTTGAGTCAATCTATATTTAATTTTGTCTTTGGAGCAACATCAAACATGTCCATTGGACCTTTACGGTTCTTCAAATACAAATGACCAGTCTTGCCTTGACGTCCTTGACCTCTTTGACTATGCTGAAATTTAATTGCTTCCTCCTTAATCATAATCATCGTATTGAGAGGTTGGTGCTGGCATCATTGGAGTAGTGGCTTTAACTTTATCCTTTTTAAGCATGGAACTTTTGATTTCTTCCTTCACATGATATGGAACTTTAGGACATAGATTAACATTCCTATAACCTCCAACCATATGATGTTTGTATGTTGAAATCTACCATTTTTGATTTTAATTACAAAAGTTTGCACTTCCAACTACCATTTTTGAGAGGAACAGCAGTTGCATATTTCTTAATTTGCTGGATCAAGCTCCTTATTTAGAACTGAATCAGACATGATGAATTGCTAATGAAGAAGAGTAAAGAGAATAGAGAGTTTAGACTAGAAAGGCTAGAGTTAGATCAGAGAATAGAAGAAAAAATTATTGTGAGAAGATGAAGAGAGTTGAACGTGAGATGAGAAGACAAATAGGCTGAAGTTAAGGTCTAACGTGAGAAGGTTTATACAAAGAGTTTTTAGTTTTTTTAGGAGTAGTTGTAGCAGCAATGAATTCACATGCAATTAATTTTGAAAACATAAAGATATCAGCAAATATTAAGGTTTAAGCGTAATTATCTAAAATTAAAATGAAAATATGATGCAAATAGATTTACAGAAAATAATTAACCTTTTAATTTCAAAGACGCGTAGCGACGTGAGACGCACTACATGCCATGGCATTCCGGAGCGAAATCCTTTGTGACCAAGCCTAACCTCATCTATTTTAGGCGATAAACCCTGAAACTAGGCATCGCCCAGGCACAACTTTTAAACAGAAAACTCCCCTAAGTGAAACTGTGGCAAGAATAGCAAAAGAAGAAAATAGGATCCAAAATCCTTTAAATGGACAAAAAGCAAGATTGAAGTACTTTAAACGCCCAAAACAAGCAGAGACGGAGCTACATGAGCTAACATCGGCATGCAATGCTTTCTCACTCTACCAAGATCCTCTAGATATCAGTAGCACGGAGCTTAGCAACATCACATCCTCTAGGAAGCCTTATTAGCACCTCCAAAACGCAAAGATAATCACAAGAAAAGCAACGTCTCTTTATTGAAGCTTCCACTAGTCATATAATCTTCAAGTTAGATAACAAAAGAGATAAAAAAAAATGGGCAGAAATAAACCAAGGAAACAAGAAATCTGAACATCAAGAGCATAGCACTAGTATGATATGCATGAAGATATGTGAAACTGGTACTAGGCAACGACGATCTATGGCAGTCCTATCCTAAGATTAAGCTTAACCTTCAACTCTTTCCAAGCAAAAACTCAACAGCAAAACCTGCAAATGCAAATCAAGTCTCAAACAATATCAATTTAGTAGTAGCAAGTCTACTTCTTTGGGTTGAGAGATGGTATGAAAATCTGAGAAAAGAGAATCCATGAAACCCAGAGAACCTGGCTCTAGCTACAAAACCCCTAGAGAAGAAAAGTGCTAGTAAACGGAGAAGCCGGAGGATGCAGCGTAATCACTAACCGCCTAACCATTTCTAAAAAACATCAGAGAGACAAACGACTCAACCACAAGGTGAGGGGAAAGAGAAACAGAGCGAAAGAAAAGAAACATGCATGGAGGGAAGGAGATAACTCACCAACCCATGATGGAGCGTACCACATCACCGAGCCACCTGAGGAGATCTGCCGCATGCCAAAATGAAGTAGATCATAATACCACCCTTCATGTAACATCCCGATTTCATGAGAATAGATTAAAAGAATTGATTTAGCTATCTATGCAGTTATCTTTTCGGTCAAAACATTTCGAAAGAACTCTAAAGTTAAGTGTGTTTAAGCTGAAGCAATTTTAGGATGAGTGACCTAGTAAAAAGTGATTGTCGGTACCGTGCGAGTGAAGACAAAACACGGAAAACGATCACGTGGTAAACAAGTTTTTAAAGCCTTCGAAAGTAGTGAATCGACCGTCGGAAAAGGATGGGCCCACAGACCGAGAGAGAACATCGGCCCACTAAAGCTGGCGATCAGAGCGTTACACTTTGTCAGACCACGTGCCTGAGGAGTGAGGAGATCCTACACCTAGCCAACTAAACCTAGCGAAAGCAGCAACGCCACCGAGAACAAAGCAAAGAGAAATCACCAAAAACCACCTTGGGAAAGCAACACTTAACCCTAGTTGTCGTCCCCAAGCAAGCCAATGGGAGAGCGAGATCTCCGGATAGGTAAACTCGCCAAGTTCACAAAGAAGCCACGTAAGGCCGACACCTTGTCAGTCGTAGAGTGGAGCTGCCGTTAAAACCCAGCTACACAGCTCTGTCATCTAAAACCCATCAAATCGCGAAGGAGAAGAGCTTGATCGACGAAATGAGAGTACATGGGAACGGTCACACGACCACGGCAATGAGCGTTGGTGGCCGGTAAGACGGAATCAAAGAAACCTAGTTTGTCATACGAAGAAGCTTTGAGAGATAAAAATTGGAGGTGCACATGATGTACGCGCCATAGACTTATATATCACTGTATCATGGAGCGCACTCTGGTCAATCACCATTGCTCGGATCCGTATCTCCGACTCTCTAGACTTTATATGTTCTAAAGAATTTGTAATTTTAAAAGATGGAAGCCGAAGGGTAACAACTTACAAGTTTGGAGTGGTTTTCATTTTTCAATTAATTTACGATCTGATGAAGATATTAATTGAAAATTACCACTTAATTAGTAAAAAAAAAAAAATTTGAAAAAATATTCAGCCACGAGACAAGTCAAGTCGCTTGAGAGAGAGTTACCATTCTTTCATCTATTTACTAGAAGAATTTAAACAAAAACTCTCATTATATAAGATTTAAACAGTGTTAAGACAAGAAAGCAACAAATTTGATTCTTACATGACTGAAATTAGTTATACAAAAGAAATTCTATGACAACCACTTATTATTTAGAAAAAAAAAAACATTAGCTTACCATTTTCAAGTTGTGTGTACACCAAAATTTTTATTATTGATTAGAAATTACACTCATAGGGATTTTCTCTTTGACAACCGCAGTAATGTTGGTCCTTAGGTGTTTTGGGATCTGTTTTTACATCCTCACATGAACATTGAAGAACACGTTGTTTTAGCTTAGATTCCATTTCTTTGTAGCATTTCTTCTTTCCATGAAAACCGCATTTTCCAGGAAATAGAATCTCAGTCCAACAGTCTACGGGAGGTGCTCCAGCTTCCGACTCTAATTTTGCCAATCAATATATTTAGGTTATAAAGATATAAGCAATTAGTAATACATAATTTTAAATTACATCATATTCTAGAGCTACTTTTTGTGATTTGTTGTGATTGAAAACAATCAATAAAAGAAATTAATATACTACCTTCAACATGGCTTAGAATCAAAAAGATGAAAACAAAAGAAACCATAACCAAAGTAGTACACTTCATGCTTCAAAATTGATAAATATTATCTTTTTTATTCGGAGAAATTTCAACTTTTTGTATATTTTGTTGTTGTCACTTGTAAACACTCTTAGTATATATATACTAACCACAACAAAATAAATTTTCCGATAAATTTGAGAAAGTAAGGATGAGCCAAGTCAACATGATCGGTAGAATCGGTTTCCATTTTTAGAAACATAATTTTTGCTAAAAATCATGTTTTCTTTTTTATTTTCGGTATTTATTTGTTTTGTTATATAAATACTTTTTATGTTTAAATTTTTTGTACGTCAAATCTGGATTTTGAGGTTTCAAAAGAAAATATATAATTATGTGATTTCAAAATTTTGAAATTTAAGCTTTCTTGGTTTTACCCTTTCAGGATTCAAAAGAAATGTAATCTTGATATAGTAGAAAACTTAACAAAGGTAAAAGTAAAACCAACGAAGTCTGATTTCCAAAAAAAAAAATTTTTTATGATTTTTCTATTGTTCTATCCACTGTCCAGAAAAATCATTACTGAAAAAAAAATTAACAATGACTAGATTTGAATATTCACAACGACCAAAATAAATTATTTAACAATTATTGTTTTTTTGTCGTCTAGATTTATTATTTATTACAAATTATGAGAACTGTTACATAGATGATTCTACAACAGACAATTCCTTCCGACCCTTATTAGATTCACGACAGACGACACCTCTTTCACCTCCTTCTTCATGCTCTTGATGGACACTTCTCTTTCTGCGTAGAATCCTAGCGAACGGCTATAATTGTACATCGCTGGAGATCTCCTGCACACTTGCCTCCAATAATCTGCAAATTTATTAATAAATCGCATTATCTGGGACACGAACCCCAGACCTCTGAGTGTAGAAGCATTAATTAACCCTTGGTCACCAAGGGGGCTTCCACTAACAATTATTGTTAAAAGATGTTTTCTTGGAGAAGAAGAAAAATGGCACTCAGTTAATGTCGAGAATAACAAGACAAGACAACCAAAAAGAGGTAGAAAGGGAAATTCAAGGTCCACGAGCCGGAGTAAAGCAGAAACAGCCCGGACTCTGATCTTCCGGTATCATTCCGCCGCCTTTACTGGTATCAATACCTTCAAGCATCTTCACCACTTCCTTCATCTCCGGCCGTTTCTGCGGATTCCCATCCCAACATGTCTTCATTATGGTCGCCAATGCAGTCGGACAGCATCTCGGTATATCCGGTCTCAGATTCTTTTTTAAAACCATAAAAAAAAGTTTCAGAATTTGACATTACGTAAGAATCAAGGAAACTAGAAAGGGTTTTCTTAGATCAAAACTTACATGTAAGACAACCGCGGAAGAAACATCGACAAAGCTAAGATCATGATAAGGCATATCGCAGCAGTAGATTTCCCATAAGCATATCCCAAAGCTGTAAACATCGCACCTTCTATTGTATGGCTTACCGTCAATGACCTAAGAAGAACACTAAGTTTTATCCGATTCGGTTTTGAAAAGAAAGAAAAAAAAAAGGTTTTAGTTTTACCTCAGGAGCCATGTATCCAAGAGTACCGGTTTCTCCTGTCATGTCTTTTGGATTAAGAGCGTCCACCCGCGCTACTCCAAAATCCGCTATTTTCAAATTCTTATTAGCATCCAAAAGCATATTCTCTGTTTTCACATCGCGGTGCACAATCTTCTCTGAGTGCAAATAGCATAGCCTGCAACAATAATAACAATAAGAGGTTTTCTTGCAATTTTTTTTGAAAAAGAGTAGTAGTTTCAAAAGACTAATTATTTACCCCCGCGCGAGATCAAGAGCGAGTTTGATAACAGCTTTAAAAGCGAGTTTCTTGCTCTTATGACGAATCAAGTGTTGTTTCAATGTTCCACCAGGAAGATACTCCACAACCACACAACACGCTTGTTGAGGCAACGAGCCTCTTGAATCAGCTGATCGTATATTCAGATTCGTTGTTCCCATAGACGCTCCAACAAACTGTTTCATTTCAATATTTCAATACTCAATTGTGTGAATAAACTAACTAACTAACTAAGTAACCAACCAACCTTTGTGACATCCGGATGGTTGAGTTTGTGCCAAACAGTGACTTCCTGACGGAACAAAGCCCGATTTGTAGCGGTCTTGGCCGTTGTTTCATTCCCATCATCTTCCCAATCAAGCACTTTCACTGCCATTATTCAAAACAACAACCAAACACAGTCACAACAATCTCTAACAAAAACATAAGTCAAGAACAAGATTTTGGAGTTAGTTAATTACCTGCAACATCTTGTCCATCATAAGTACCTTTGTAGACAGTACCATAAGTACCACGAGCAATAACATTACTTGTTGCCAACTTAGCCAAATCAATATCCCATTCTTCCTTAGCTTTAAGATTCACCTCAAGATTCCTCGACCAAACCCTACTCAAATGTTTCTCAAGCTGTCTATCTAAACTCTTCAAATCAATCTTATCAGCTCGAAAGATCTTCTCTTTCTTGATGTTGTTCCCCTCTTCTTCTGATTTCTTCTCCATGTCTTAAAACTTTCAAATCAAAACTATTTAACTATGCAAATAAGACCACACAACTTTCAAAAAACTAGATTTTGTAACTCAAAGCATCAATCGTTTCATCATCATCATGAAATCAATCAAGTACTATTTTTTCAGATTACTAGTGAATTTAAACACACACAAAAGTTATATATTAAAAAAACAATCTTATGATTACTAAGTTAAACAAAGAAAACTTATTATTGAAGGAAGTCTAGATTTTTTATAAGAAACTATCAATCACCAAACTTATCAAAGATCATGCACATGCTTTGACATTCAGGTAATGAAATTTCTATGCAATTGTAGAAAAAGGAGAAAAATCTAACATCACGATAAGAAAAGGTAAAACCTTAAGAAAACGACTCGTTAACCACTAATATATCACACACGAATGATCAAATATTGAAATTCAATTTAGACAAAAAAACAAAACCGAAAGTCAGCTGTATCATCAAACTAGGACATGCAGAGAAACAGAGACGCAAAATAAGCTAATTTAAACAAAGGGAACGAAAGAGAGGTTTTTTAATGGTGGGTTTTGGATGATGAGGCTAAAAGAGCGAGATTTATCTCAAAAAACAGAGGATTTTTTCTGAAAAATCTCTCATTTTTTTGGATGAAAAGAGAGAATCTGAAATAAAGAAAAGGACTTAGGAAACGACGGAAGAGAGATGGAGAGTGAAAGACGGAAGAGAAGCTGTTTCTTTCAGGCTTCTTTTAAGGATACGTATTTATTTGTTTTTTTTTTCTCAAATATTTTTTAAAGAAATATCATCAAATATATCTTTGGTTATAGAAAATAAATATTACAAAAAAAAAAATATCATTTCCTTAGAAAAGTTTATAAAACATTTAGAAAAATAAGTGTATTTTCACAATTTTGATAAATTTAATCGATCCAATCCAAATCATCCAAAAATTGATTAAAAACAAAATTTTTTGTTTTTTGGCTTTAAATAGGAAATAAATATTACAAAAATTAAAAAACCAAGTTTAAAAATTAATAAAAAGTATAACGGAATACATGACTACACATGCCAAGTTTAAAAATGTACGACCAACTACACGAATTAAATGTATTGCATGCCCACAGGTCCGGTCCACCCATAAAGCAGGCAAAGCTTCGGCTTTAGGCTAAAAAATAAATGAAAAATTTTAGACCACATTTGTAAAATATTTCTTTAGGCTGGTGGTTAAGTATTTAGAATATTTTGCTCGGGTGTCTAGTTCAAATCCCTTCTTGTACAGATATTTTTTTTCTTTTTTTACAGACTTACAGTTTTATTTTTGTTTTATAACTTAGTTAAAAGTATTATAATAGTTTTTAGAAATTTTTCACGAAGAACTCCATCTCCTTGGGTAAGAAATTGTTGCTGCTGTTGGGTAATTCTTGTCCTTAATCCTTCTAATTTTGTCATCAATTGTTTTATATTATTATCAAATCAAAGGTTATGTTTTGAAAGTAACGATTGTAATTGGGAATTAGGTGACTTTGTCACTTAGTTTTATATTTTAGTTTTATAGTCAAAGTGTTTGGATTGAATTTGAAAACTTTGTAGTGACTATAATTATATGTTTTGTTACTTTTGTAGACGATGTCTCCAATTTGCACTAGAAAACAGGCTTTTACATTATTCAATAACTTTTCTAGTGTTCTTTTAATATATTTTAGCATTTTAATGATAAATTTTTAACAATAGTTTTTATAAAAAAATTGTATTATCTAACTATGCTTTAGGCCACAAAAATTCTAGGTCCGGGCCTGCATGCTCACATATACCAACTATATGATGACATATGGCCAACATCACGAACATTTTATTATGGTATACTAATCATCGAAATCCGGCGTTGACCGGCATTGACCAATAAAAATATTAATTTTTTTTTTAATAATTTTAGTTACAAAAATTAACAATATATTAAAGTTAGACTAAAGATTATGTAAAATTTTCTATATTTTTTAACTATGTATTATGATTTTGATTTTAGCAAAAAAACTTGTTATTTTTTTACCATGCAAACTTTAGATTAAAGAGTCATATACTCAATTTTTCTAAAAAAAATTAACAAAATTTATTTCATTTTACTTTTAGTTTAGTTTTGAAGTTGAAAAAATTAACTAATTATTAAAATCATAGAAAATATTTTTTTGTTACATATAGAATGTGTTTTTTTTTATTATACAAAACCATAAATGATTTAATAGAATAATTCTTTTTGAAAATATTTAAAACAAAATAAATAAAAAAATTTGAATATTTTTGTTGGTCAATGCCGGTCAATACCGATCAACAATGGCCAACGCCGGATTTCGTTGATTAGTGTACCGGAATAAAATGTTGGTGATGTTAACCATATGTCGTCATATAGTTGGTATATGTGGGCATGCAATACATTTAGTTCGTGTAGTTGGCTGTACATTTTCAAATTTGGCATGTGTAGCTATGTATTCCGTTATACTTCGTGTAGCTGAGTATTATTTTTCCGAAATTTTATATATAAAGTTGGTTAACTCTCTACATAAGAATGCCACGTCATCATTCTAAAAGTTGTCATGTGTCATATTCATAAATTTACTAAATTATATTTTTTTTTGTCAAGATATTCAATAAAATGTAGTTACTTTTAATTATTAAAAATATTCATTAAATTATCTTACGCTCAAAATCTAAATTAATTACAGTAAGCGATGCGTTTCATTATCGCTTGCATCTTTTTTCGATTGACTTTCATCATCATATAGTATCCAACATTTCAATATAACGCATGTAAGATTCGTTTAACAAATAATAAACTTAACAGGTTCATATTTATTAGCAGGTTTAATGAAAATTCCAATCATAAAATCTTTATGCAACATTTATATATACATGGATTAGAAAAGGAAAAAAATAAACAAATTCACATATACCCGAGACGCGGCCATAGTCATCACTTTCAAGCTTGAAGTTTCCTTTTCCTGGAGATTTTTTCAAAAGTTCTGCAGAAATTGAAGAAATCGTGAGACATTGAAGTATTCTTCACAAAATACATTGTTTTAGGTACTTAATCGATTTATATTCCAATTTTGGACAATCGCGAAAAGAATGCGCGAAAATTGCTCACCGAGACTCTCACATTTTCGTTTTTAACATCATTGATGTTTTTCTCTAAACGTTTTCTTTTGATTCAGTATAATTATTCATCTCCCCTATATAATCTGATGTGTTTGGTTTTGACAGATTTTCTTCAATGGGAGATAAGAACCTTGAGCCGAAGAAGAAGAAATCACAGAGTTTAGAAGCAGTCAATTTTGGTTTTCAAGTGGAGGATTGGGCCTATCTCCATTACAATGCTCAGAACAAATTCGAAGAGATCTTGAAAAAACCGAAAACCGACAAACTACCAACTCCAACAGTACTCATTTGTACTCTCTTTCCCAGAGTAACTCTAGTATATCTAAATAGAAATAAACATTTATGACATAAAAATAAAACAAATATGAAGTTGGATGATAACAGATCTTATGATCGGTTAGTGAGTAAACCTATTCTTCGTAAAGCATCGTCAAACTTCATTTGCTGTATTTTTCTACGTATATGGCTCATGTACTGGTTTGTGTTACAAAATTCTGTATAAGTCTTTGTAAAATTTTTTTCATCTTTGTCCTAGTTTTCGTACCGTCTTTGTAAACACGATAATTAATAAAGTTATTGGATGAAAAAAAAGAAAAGAAGTAAACGTTTCTATCTTCATTTTTCTATAATAATTTAACCATTCTTTTGGCTAAAATTTATATCTACAACATAGAAAGATAGTGAAATGCGTACAATGTACTATATAATGCATATATAAAATTAGAAGTTGGCAGGAAATAAAATATTGTTAGCCCTTTAATAGAAAAAAAAAATATTAATAGATTTCTTTTAAACTGAATTAAGTTTATAAATATGCAGGTGTATGTTAATAATGTTAAGGCTTGTCAATTGTCATAGGCTATAATCTGAAATCTTGAGGCCCATTTATTTGATATTTCAATAATTACAAGGATGGCCCAAATTAAGACCCATAAAAACTTAAGCCGCAAAACTTTACCGGTTCAAACCGTTAAACTTTGACAAACCAGTAAGTCCACGAACTAACCTGGTCATTCGGGTATCCGTTCGGATTCGGTTTTTTTTTTCGGGTATCGGGATAGGGGGTCGAGACCCATATGAGTATTCTAAAAATTCAGTTCGAGTTCAGTTCGGGTTCGGGTCGGTTCGGGTATTTTAATAACCAAAAATAACCAATTCATATTTTCACTCCGAACTGAAATACCCGAATCCGAAAATAACCAAAAATACCCGAAATATTTTCGGGTTCGGATCGGGTTCGGGTTTTTTACTCGTATATACCCAAATCTAACCGAAATACCTGATTTCTCAAAAATACATTGGTTACTCTTTGCCCAAATATAACCAAAAATATCTAAAAATACTAAAATTAGCCAAAACAAAACTACATCATTAGTTACTTTTTAACCAAATATATCCAAATGTATCCGAATTACTCAAAAATACCTAGTATATTCGGATTTATGATTGTAATTTTAGGTATTTTGGATATTATAAGTATAAATATAACTAATATTTTTAGGTGTATATTTGTATTCGGGTACCCACGGATATTGGATTCGGTTCGGGTTCGGTTCGGGTTTTTTTCGGATAGGAGGTCTAGGATCCATTCGGGTTCGGTTCGGATATTTTTTCTGGTTTTTTGGTTCGGGTATTCGGTTCCGGTTATTTTGCCCAGGCCTACTAAAATCTACACTATAAAACAGTGCAATAAAAGTCATTCATACATAGGATAATAACCTTTTATTGCACTGTTTTATGTTGGATGGAATGGAACTTAACTTTTGACTACATTGCCTTCGCCAACTTTGGGGCGACTTTCTTTAATCGTTTTTATGCGTTATTTCTAATTTGGGTTAATACTGTAATACTTCACATAAAACTATTATGTTAGGTAATTTCTATAAATCCTACCATGAACCTGCGGTTTGAACATGTACATGTTACTAAAAAGTCAATAACCTATGACTTCATAAATCATAAACCTATAGTCGGCCAAAACGTATATACATCAATTATTAGTTGCTTCTTTTTTTGACTAAACGATGTCAAGCTTCCATTCATCAATCTATATATGTACGCTCTCGAAACCATTAACATTTACAAAATCATATTCTCCTTACAAAAAAAGTTCTGGTCCATATCTACCATTTTATCTGCATGACCAAAAACTATTGCAGATAATTCTCATATTTAGCGTAATATATAACCCATAAATAAAAGCTTCCACGTATCCGGTTATGAGTGAAAGTATTATTTCTTAAAGATCCAAAGTTGAAATCAGGGATGATGTGATATATATAAACATATTAGAAAACATATATTATCATCTAAAAAGCTCAAATGGACATCCCTCTTTATTAAGATTTAATGTGCTCATTGTTTTTGGTTTTTATAGGGGTGACTCGGTCTGAATTTTAATGGAAAATGATTTGTGTTAAAAAAAAAAAAAAAAAAAGATGTTTTGTTTATCTCTTCAAGGAACCGGACATTGGAGATAAAGAAAAGAAGTCTTAATATTATACATATCGGCGTGGCTCCACTTTATTAAATTGAAATTAATATATTGATATGAAGAAATGAAAAAACGAATCATATCACAAAAACCTTTATTTTTTAATCTATTCTGATAAATTGAATTGTTCCCATCTAAATCATATCCAAAAACCGAATTAAAA